TATGGTTTAATATCGTCATAAATTTAAATGACATTTATTTCCAATGGATTTGCAAGGCACAATAAAGCTCTTTTTTGTATTTTCACTAACAATACTAAACAATTTAGAATGATAACATAAACACAAAAAACTAACATTTAAATGTAAATAAATTATTTTCTTTATGTCAGATATTTTCAATTAAACCTTTGAATATTGAAAAAAATGACTTTAGTATCTAATATTCAATGATAAAACGCTCAATTATAAAAGTCTCAACATAATTAATAATGTTGATTCACAGTCAATTCTTCATTTTTGTGAGCATTATTTTAAAAAGAGAAACTCATATGTTATTAGGGTGTTTAAAATCTATCGAATCGCCCAAGCTATAAAATATGGGAAAATAACATAATTTATTAGACTTATCATCATTATTATTATCAAACTGTAGGCTGTAAGATAACAACAAAACTTTCCTTATTTAGCTCACAAGGAAAAGTATGAGTAGATATGGAAAGATATGAATTGTCATTTCTATTTTGAAAATACACATTTCTGCATCAGTAAATGAAGAAAAATTCAATCTCTAAAAGAATAGAAACAACCAACATTGATTAACAACATTGAATCAATTGAATCATTGGATCAACATTGAACAAAGTCTATCGGCTGTAATAGTCATCACAGGCATCATATTATCCCAAACATGTGATGGGCATAGAAACATAGCTGATTTCTAAGTAAGCCTATCTAGCTGGAAGTCTAATCTCATGAATTCATTGGAGGAGTAAACAATATTGTCTTGGAAAATTATTTTGAGAGTTATCTTTAATGAGGTGAACTTTAAAGCTCTCAACGAGGGTAGGCTTCAGAAAACTGAATCTGTAATGACGGCTATTCATTGATTGATTAAGGCTAACTTGAGGTAAATTTGGATTATGCTTATTTCTACCATTGTATTGATGTATTAAAGATCTGCCAAAAGAGAGTTGGTTTTTATCCAATATAACTAGGATTACTTTCAGAGCAGTGAAAGTTGGTAGTTGAGTTTTTTGTATTCATGACGTTTTGTTACTACTCCTTTCTTTTAATTACCCTCACTTTAAAATTAAAACATAGACTACAAAACTTTTTATTTTTTGAATTTTTATGGGAAAATGTTTTTTTTTTTTTAATAATAGAGGCTTTCACCAAATTGATTTACCGAACATTGAACAAAGTCTATCGGCTGTAATAGTCATCACAGGCATCATATTATCCCAAACATGTGATGGGCATAGAAACATAGCTGATTTCTAAGTAAGCCTATCTAGCTGGAAGTCTAATCTCATGAATTCATTGGAGGAGTAAACAATATTGTCTTGGAAAATTATTTTGAGAGTTATCTTTAATGAGGTGAACTTTAAAGCTCTCAACGAGGGTAGGCTTCAGAAAACTGAATCTGTAATGACGGCTATTCATTGATTGATTAAGGCTAACTTGAGGTAAATTTGGATTATGCTTATTTCTACCATTGTATTGATGTATTAAAGATCTGCCAAAAGAGAGTTGGTTTTTATTTACATGCAACAAGTATGTGTCCTGTGTATACTGTATAATAGTAGAGGGCAAGGTCGTTATTTTAATTTATTCGTTACAGTAATTATTTAAAACTCGATAAACGATTTAACGATAAACAAAACTCTCCCCCCCCCCATAATTAGACTCCATGAGAAAGCATCAAATGAAAAATTGCATAATAACAAGTAAGGAGAACAGTTTGGTTCATACATATTTTGAGTTTTCTTAACAAGAATAAAACTCTTGATAATCTTTTCCAAGTTCCTGAATGTGATCATCCCATGTTAATTAAATGTCAAGATTTTTTCCAAGCAGTTTAACCTTCTTTGAAATGGATTTATCAATTGCTTTATTATTTTTAGAGAAAAAAAGTATTGTTTCTGTCTTTTAATCATTTAAAAGAAGGCCATTAGAAAGTTTTAGTAGATATCACAAATATGAGAACAGAAAGCGGTATGGATCATAAACAATACCCCCGCCGCAGAAAACCTGCAGACTAAGCGAATTTCAAACTTGTCTGATTAAATTTTTACTAGAATGTTTCTATAAAAAATAAGACATATTTATTCCCAATTTAAATAACATTAGAAACAAGTGCTAACGTTTTGCTGCTACGGGGAAGGTAAATTTTGTTTTTTCACCATAGGTAGTATAGGATGAAATAAATAAATTTGCCAACTTTTATCAACATATATAGGCTACATAAACAAGTAAACTATAACAAATTCAATTTTCTCCATAAGAATAGCATGGGAATTTTAAATTAAACTTTTTTAAATTTACTCTGGGACCGTTAGCGATACAACAGCGCTTTAATACAGTATACTAAATTATTTGTTTTTTAAGCTCTACAAAATGGTTATAGAAAGAAATTGCAAAATCTTTTGTTTTTAGGGTCAAAAATGGGAAAACCCCATTTATACCCCATAAAACCCCCCCTAAACCCCTATTCCCATGGTCCGATTATGGTAGTTCGCGAACTCGTTAGAATAAACGTAGGTTTACAAGTTTGTACCAAATTTCATCAAAATCGGATCGTAAATCATCAAAATGCTTCTGAATTTTCTCTAGAGCAAACAGTCTACTTTTTTTAATACCATACGAGTAGTGATGTAAAATACCCAGGTATTTAAAACTCGGGGTAAATACCCTGGGTATTTACCCGGGTAAATACCCAAAATCCATAAATACCCGGGTATTTTGGGTATTTATAAAATAAATTGAAATTCCCTACCCCTAAATATGTTATTGTTATTACATGATAAATTAGGATAGTCAATAACACCTTTTACAGTAACTTGAAGCTTTGCTCGCTTAATGATTTAGCACTTTTTTTTAATAATACATAAAATTTCTAAATAAGCATGGGGTTTTGTGTCTTAAATCGAGTAACATCAGTTAAATTTAACTCACTAAAAAATATTGGTATATTAAAAAAGGCTGTGGCTATTTCAATTTTTATAATTTCATAAATTTATAACCAATTAAATAACATAAACAAAATTATTTTAATTTATAAATATCCAGGAATTGTTGGGTACTTATGATGCAAAATTGTTATTGTATAAATGGTTTGGAAGGCTAGACAGACCTAAGGCCTATTTGACATCTAGGCAGAATGATAGAATACTTATAAGTAGGCTTAATTAAACTTTTCTGTGTTACCGCTTGGTTGGAAACAATAATATATTTGGATAAACCTACTAAAAAAACGTATCTCCTGTTTTTTGGTCGAACCTAATATAATTTTGAAAGATTTATTGTGCTATAGATTCCAATGTTTTGTATCACAAGTTGATGAAATTAGTTTTTTTTTTATTTTGATACCATTGATAGCCTACCAACAAAAGATTTAGAACAAAAATTATAAATCCTGCCATCCTACAGATTGAATTTTAAAATTATTTTTCTTAAGTTGTTTACACATAGGCTACTACTAGGTTAAATTTTCCTGTCTTTCTAAATAATAATTATTAGGTACTTTGCAAATTATTTTTTTTCACTTTCAATCAAATAAATTCATCTATCTATCATAGAAATTAAAAAATCATAAGTAGTCAGGACCTGTGCAGCAACCATGCGACCAGGGTATTTATGCCGATTATAACCAGAAGTAAAATGCCAGTAGTGACCATATGAAATTTTGTTTAACACATTTTATCATCATTTTACTATCCTTGCAAGGTAATAATTGCAAAAAAACATCTAAATCTTCTCTAACTTTAATAAAAATTATAAATACCCAGTTTTTGGGTATTTACCCGGGCCTGGGGTAAATACCCGGGTAAAAACCCAATTTATATTTACCTACCCACTGGGTATTTACCCGGCCCACATCACTACATACGAGCACTAGTTCTAGTACATCCCCCCAGCTATACGTAACTTATGTTGTACCGTACAGTAGACTTCCTCTTATCCGGACTCCTCGGGACCGAGGCCAGTCCGGATAACGGGTTTTCCGGTTAAACCGACGTCCCCAAAAACTCATTAAAACGGACTGTTTACTGTGATATTCTACTTAAATTTAGGAGAGCAATGTATTTAGACACGTGATCACTGGTCTCACATCTTTCCCACGAGAACAGTCGTTTCAGTACTGCCCACTTCCTGCCGATCTAGTCCGGTTAAACCAATGTGCTGATAAAAATTGTCCGGTTAAACAGATGTCATTTCCGCCGAGTGTAGTCCGGTTAATCCGATGTCCGGTTAAAAGGTATCCGGATAAGAGAGAGTCTACTGTATGTAATCATAATATGTCATAAGTCATAATCATCAATAATCATAAGTTGATGGACACACACAATCAAAATTAAATTAAAAATATATTTCATACTTTACTTGTGGTGTTTTTGGCCTCTGGGGACCTCAAAACAAAAAAATAATTCGGTCCCGGGTCTAGGTCTTACCATGAGACCTACGGTAATTAATAGCTTATTCCCTATATGGGAAATTCGCTAAAAACAGATGACGTAACTGGCCCAAATCCAATAGGCCCTAATAATAACATTAATATTATGGTTTATACAGTTCCATTTAAGCAATGTTAAATAATGTTTACTTTCATGCCAATAAAATTATTTATTTATGTTAATGATCCATACTGTTTCTGTTCTAGTAGGTTGTCGTGGCAGACATTGGAGACTTTTTCAGCTGATACTTCATACTGTAGTTGAGGGAATATTGCTATTTAAGCCATTTGCATAAATAATGAGAAGAAAGGAGCCCAGGACTGACCATGTTTAGATCTTACACCATTAATTTCCACTCTCTGTTGTCTGTGTTCAAGCTGAGAGTGTATTAATTTTAGTTCAATACCCTTTATCACTGAGGTTTTTTTAATGTTTCAGGCTAAAGAAACAGCAAGTATTAAAAAAGCTACACTAAGTATCTAACTTCATTCTAAACTCATTCCTTATAGTTGGGTTGCGTCCCTATCTCAATCAGTAATTGCGTACCCAAGTTCTTGAGTGAGCGCTGGTAGTCATCTGGGTCTAGGGACATGAGCGCCTCCACACTGATGATCTCCGCCATTCCCTTGGCGTACTGTACGAGGTCAGGGAACAAACGAGGGGTGACTACCAGGGTAGACTGAGGTCTGACATGTGACAACACAGCATTCAGCACACGTCCATAGTCCTACACAACACCACAACAATGTCAATAACAGCATAAGGTACAACTTTCTTGTAAAACTAGACTAAGTAATTTTACACAAATGCAGAGCTGAAATTGAATAATTTGTTGGTGATCAACTAAACTGAATCTGCAGAATGTCCAAAACATGTTGAACATATGTTATCACTTGTATTGAGCCGAATATACTAGTCTAGGCAACTTTGATACGGTATCTCAAAACAAAAAATTCAATTCAAAAGGCTGGTGAAGTATGTACGGTACCTTGAACAAAGAGACACTATCACACCAAAAAGTAAACTGTTGTGATTTAGGATGTATTAAAACCAATATTTTCAGTAATATTTGATTTTTTTATTCTTATAAATGAATAGGCTTATTATTAATTTACATACAATTTATAGAGAAAGAAATTAAATGTCTTCAGAAAAATGCATCTTTAAGCTCTTTCTGAAAACTACATTTTTTTTCGAAGTACCGTAATTTAAAACCTTTTTTATGAGAAGCTCTTATTAATGGACAAAATATGAGTCGGCTACTAATATTATTTTTAATTTCATTCAAGTTACTATTTATTTATTTTTCTAACAGATAGAGCTACTGCTGAAGTTAAGTTACCACACAAATCTGAACCAGAAAATGTATAGGCCATCGTCAGGTACAATTAATATATATTATATAGCATACCTTATACATTTTATATATTTATATAGTAACCATACATACACTAGATTTTCTATCAAAACTTTTACTGTTTTTTTTTCTGTGTAAAAAATAAATATGATACGTTTTTAAAGAAAAGAAACAGTCACTTTTGTAGTCTTACTTTGTAACATTATAAAATAAATTTACTAGATCCATGTGGGTTGTAGACAAAAGTTGAAAAATAAATTAATTAAAGAGGGGGTAGGAGATGAACATTACTTCTTTAAAGCGGCAATTAGAAACAGCTTAGTAAATAGGCCAATGTACTTGCTGGAGGAGCTGAGTGAAGAGCCCTTAAAAAATACTTAGAGCCCCCGGCTACCCCAAAAATGTTTTATTTACCGCCACAGCCTGGTTAAGTTTCTTGTATGTAAAGAGTAATGTTTTATATTTTTAAATTTATATATTGACAGTCTATCTGACATTGTTGGTCAATGACGAAGCATACAAGTATCAAGTAAATATAGAACTAAAATCATTAACATGAAAACTCAATGTAATTAGTTCATAAACACTACTCATGAAAGTAAAAATAAAAATATGAAATAAAAGGTTTCTTAACTTATGCAGAAAATTTAGAAAAACACTAAGAAAAATCTTATCTCTCTACTAAGAATAAGGACTCATAAAAACCATAACAAAAATATAACAGAAAAATATGCACAGATCCAGAATGTAGAGGCCTAGAAACTTACCTTTGTAGAAAATCCCAAGCAATACCTAATCCAACAAACCGCATTTAAATTGATTATGAATAAAAATCATTATTCAAACAGTACGGTACCAGAGTAAATAAATTAAGCAATTCCATTTTTTGTGACACACATACATTTTTAATTTATTTATCTAAGTTAGGCATACACATCTAAATTAGGTCCACTTATGATAGGCCTAATATAATAATTAAAATACTGTACCATACAGGAATAATGCTTAGGATATTAAAGAAACTATATTGGTTATCTGTAAGAGAATTTTTCAAGTGCTTAATGGATTTATTTTTGGCTAACCATTAAGTTACTGCAACCAGCAACTTAACTGATTAAATTAATTAATAAATTTTAACTAGCTCACTCTAGCTTTATTGAACATTGAACATAACTAAAAAATCACATTATTTGCCAGTAGGCCTATAAATAAATTATATCAGCAATCTGACACATGCTTTCTCTCATTAGCTTGTCAGCAACCTTTATGGTTAAGCGATGAGAGTAACTCTATCATAATAGATAAAATCACAAAAGTTGCATTGACTTTTGAACTAGGCCTAGCCTATAATTTTTACAGAAATGTGGGCGTTGCACTATTTTGTTTGGAATTATAAGGACCATAACAGACAAATTTCAAATCAGAACCAGTTTTTTCTTTTTAATCCTATCCGTTTTTCATGGGAAAATAACGTAATTTACAATTAATTTTGAACTGTAATTAATACAACAATGGGAGTTGTACCGTATTGTTCAGAATTTAAAGGACTACAACATACTAATACTATGTCTTACAATGTTATTTCAAGTGACAAGTTGTTTCATTGGAAAATTCCTTTTTATGTTAAAAAAATCAATCTTTTGATTGTACTGTGGTACTAAAGGTCTTTCTCATCTTAATGAGCTTTGGAGCTGACCATGGTAAAGGCAGAATTGAATTGACGAACTATATCCAAATAATTTCTGGATATAAGTCTCACAGTCCTTTTTTCAGATTGGGAGTTTCCAATGAGAACCTAAAGGTATGGTGAATTGCACAAATGAGGTAAACAAACCTTTCATTTATGGCAACAAAGAGTAAAAACTTAACTGTCTCGGTCAGTCTTTACTTGCTTAAAAATATATAAGCCACTACAATGTAAACATTTAACGTTCATTTGTCCGAGATTGGACTACCACAACGGTGGTACTACACCACTATGTACCCATCAAATGTTCAATTGAGAGGTTGATGCAAGCGGTCATGTTCGCGTTCCCTCCAGCCACTCACAGTTCTTCGTCGTACTGGCGGCATTTGATTTTAAATTGAAATGAAAAAAGAAAGTTAACCAAACAACAGAAAACACTATAAAGGAATTGGAATTTTGATACACATTGTAAATTACATGATAATATGGTAATGTAACGGATAACTGCCCTGTGAAGATTAAATTTTAAACATTCACTTCATCCCATCGAACTGTAACCACATGATAACCAGTAAAATACGATGTAAGGTAAATCAACTTAACCATAGACAAAAAGAAATATTTATTCTTAAACACTTTGTTGTTTAGTATTGATAAGAAACTCTTAATTATGAACCAGACTTAGTTAACAGATAGAAACAAAATATAAATTCTAGTTTTGCTCTGGAAGTTTTAAGTCCTGCAGTCTGTGGTTAACCTTAAAAACTATTTCAAACTACGTCCATATGTTATTTGTAAACAAAGGGAAATGAGTTTGATCAAATGTCAACAGATAGCGCCGCCTTCTAAACTTAAGCCCTCAAGTGTACTTGCCCTTTCTTAATATTCTGAGACATATTTGCACATCTACGTGAAAATACCTTTAATTTGACACCTCAAACCTTAAAATCCATCAAGCCGTTATTGAGTTATGATAAGAAACTCTTTATTATGAACCAGACTTAGTTAACAGATTGAAACAAAATATAAATTCCAGCTTTGCTCTGGAAGTTATAAGTCCTGCTGTTTGTGGTTAACCTTAAAAACTATTTCAAAATACGTCCATATGTTATTTGTAAACAAAGGGATATGAGTTTGATCAAATGTCAACAGATAGTGCCGCCTTCCAAACTTTAGCCCTTAAGTGTAATTAAGTGGTGCCCTTTCTAAATATTCTGAGACGTATTTGCACATCTGCATGAAAATACCTTTAATTTGACACCTCAAACTTTAAAATCCATCAAGCCGTTATTGAGTTATGACCATGAAAAGAAAACTGCTTGCGTATTAATATATAGATGTTGGTTGTAAATAATTTATGTAGTTAATAATCCTGATATTCTAAAAGTAGGCTACCTATGTTCATTGTGACAGTTATGTTATGAGGTCCAACTGTTCTTAAATGTTTAAAAACCTGATGTCTTAAAAAGATCATAAGTTTTTTATCAACAGATTTTTCCTAAGAAATTTCTAACAAAGGTTAAGTTTTTGTAAACTCACTTTGTGCAGGTCCTGGTCCACAACTTGAGCCCAGACTCTGGCAGGCATATGTGACGTGTCTGCGACACACAATATAGTTTTGCTGTAATTGTTATTATGTGGCGCTGTTGTCATTGAGCCGTCAGGGAAGATGTCCACCAGCACTACTGAGCCTTCACCCCCAAGTTGTGACAGTTCCGGGTGATTCTGCATGTACCAGTCTGCTATGAATGTGCACTGCCCGTAAATCCGTCGAACTAACGATGTCTTCATCGTTTTGCCATCAATAACTACATCTTCGGGATTCAGGCTATTACACCATGCCAACATAGTTTCTACAGAGGCTTTAACACTACATTGAAACTCCTCCATAAAGCTGCCTGTTTTTATTGGCACTTTTTTCTTGCACTCTGTGCACAGCCAGTTAAATTTATCGATTATGCGGGCCTTTTTCCAATGCATCTCCAGCCCATTACAAGTAGAGTTAGGACATTTCACAGAACCGAGAAGGAGACCGATTTCTTTCATCCACTCGCACAATTCACCCTCACGACCTTCCGCTAACAGTGGCTTTATGGTATCGAGGAAACTGTCTTGGCTCCTGTAAACAAGACAAATGTGACTTTCAGTGTTTTATTTGGACAAAAATAGTCTGGAGATAACATAAACTATCAACTAGGTTCATTTTAACCTAAACTTTAACTTACCTAATCTAACCTAACTTAGATAAGTTATGTAGGCTAAAGTTAGGTATAATCAACTAAAAACACATTTTATTCACTGAAATAATATATAATTAAATCCATATGATAAAGAATCTCAGCTGATATTTTTTGTGAATATTTGTCTCATTCTCTGTTTACCAACAACGAATATCGCAATGTGACTGTGCCTTTATCATTTTGAATCATATTTAATAGTTGTAAATTTGTACTACATATTTAGTAATATTCCTACATAAACTGTTTCTTGTGCATAGACTTATAAATTTGAAGTTTAGGGCATTACACTTAGCCCGTTTTGAAACATTTCATCTTAGTAAACAAACAATTTGATCGTCACATGAAAAAGGTGCAGCTGCATTTTATAAAACCCTAAACATATCAAATCAAATCATTAATTTAGCTATTTATATTTGCCTTTTTTCATGTCACAGGGAAATAAATTTGTTCATTTTAGCGAATTTCCCTATAGGGAAGTAGCTATTACCGTAGGTGGCACGGTAAGACCTAGACCCGGGACCGATTTACTTTTTCATTTTGATGTCCCCAGAGGCCAAAAACACCATTCGTTAAAATTTTTATATATGTATATATATATATATATATATATACGTCCGTGAACGCGATAACTTGAGTAATTTTTGTCCGATTTTGATGAAATTTGGTTTAAAGGTGTAAAGCGGGATAAACTTGAATGAGTTCGCGAACCAGCACGATCGGACCATGGGAACGGGGCTTTACGGGGGGTTTTATGGGGTAAAAATTGGTTTTTCTCACTTTTGACCCTCAAAACACAAAATTTCCCGATTTCTCTTTAGACCTTATTAAAGAGCTTAAAAAAAAACAAATAATTTAGTATATAAAAGTATTTTTGTTCGATTATTAGTAACGGAGAAAATTAAAAAAATTGTAAATTTAAAATTCCCATGTTATTCTTATGGAAAATATTGTCAAATGTTGTAGTTTGCTTGTTTGTGGATATATTTTGATCAAACTTGGCAAATTTATTTATTTTGTACTAAGCTATCAATATTTTACTCAAAAACACACTTTATTAGTTTCCTTGTAGCAGCAAACCTAGGTACTCGTTAAACCTAATGTTATTAAAATATATTTAACTGAAAATCAATTCAGACAAATGGAAATTCGCTTAGTCGGCAGGTTTGCTGCGGCGGGGGTATTATATAGGCTAGTTGGTAATTAGGTTTGATGTGTTTGAAAATTTTACTAATATTATAAATGTGAAAGTTTGTGTGTTTGTTTGTTTGAAGTTCAATCACGCATTAATTACTGGACGGATTCGGGCTGAAATTTGGCATGATGATAGCTCACATTCCCGATTAACATATAGGCATATTCTTATCTCAAAAATCCTTTCGGGCTCCGCCCCAGTGGCTCTGGTACTTCCCCATGTTAACCTTATGGAATTAAAGAATTTAGTCAGCTGTTTCAACTAAAAAGGTTGGTTCTATGGCATGCAAAAGCATTAAAAGTTATAAGATTTACCAACAGAGTGCAGCACTATTATTTTTTTCATTTATGAAAACAGCTAATTTGAACCAATTTTAAGCAGCAACAAAAAAATGCAATGAGAACTGTCTGTTTACAGTTATGTTTATGTTTTTAATTCCATGAATAATTTGTGATATTTTGCGAATATTTAATAGTTTGTTTTTCTATTGTTTGTGGTAGAACGTTATGGCTATGTTAGATGTGTAATACTATAGTATACCGTAAATTTAAAGAAGCAAATTTTATCAAACTGTGTACTCCCCCATTGCAAACGCAAAGCTTGAGTATAACTGCAATAAGCATTTTATACTTATATTCATATAGTCATACGGACGCTAATTGCAGTCAGTGAGTCCGCGTTAACTAAGCATTTTATACTTATATGCCAATCCCGTACGAAGGACGGGTACTCTACTAGTTAATATATATGTTTGAATGAAAAAACAAATTTCTAAAAAATATGAAGATCTAGGTATAAAAGTCATAAAAATTTATAATAGCCTACCGGTACCAGTGCTATATAGTCAATGCCGGTACTCTAATAATCATTTTTCTTTGAACATTTTTCTTTTTACATAATTTGATCTCTAATTTTATCAGACTTTACAAAAATGTGTACTTTTACTACATTCCTAGATAGCATATTTAGGCCTAATGTGTTTTGTTAGAAATTGGTAACTTAGTGTAAAATCGTTAAATTTGAAACTTTTTTGCTGTGTCATAACTTTTTAAAACAAAATGGCAGTTGAAATATTTTAACATTTCCATGAAGGGAAATAAATTCCCAATCATTTGTAATCTTAGCTTAAGTTACATTTTTTTTTATTTGGTTCATGCAGCAAAGTTTTACTTTCAAAATTAAAAAAAAACAATTGTTTACATTTTTTCTAGGCCTACTTAACTTAAGTGGAAGAAGTAATTACATTAAAACATATAGTCGTATCAAATGGTTATCCAAGTAGTATTGTGGATAAACTCATCTACAAACATAAAAATAAAACAGGAACTAATAAACAGAACACTTTCATCTCTGCAAAATTTGGCACCTTTATGAGCAATAAATATAAAAATCTCATGGCAAAAAACAAAATCACAGTTTCCTTTAGAACAGAAAACAAGCTTGGTTCATTGTTAAAGGAACGCAGTCCCACGATGACGCAATTTTTTGATACTGTAAAACTGGTGTTTACAAGATCAATTAATTGTACCGATTGTACGAAATATTACATCGGCCAAACAGCACGTTCCTTTACAAAACGATTCAAAGAGCATATTCCAAAAGCGTCAACAGCCTCACCAAACATCATCTTTTGCCGAACATTTAATATCCCAAGGCCACAATTACACCAACATTAGCAGCAATATGGATAGGTATTCTACATTTGTCTTAAGACAGATATAAACTTAACACATTGGAAGAGTTCGAGATATATAAGGCAGTAAAATCCGACCACCATAATGTACTAAATGACCAACAATTTTTCTCGTCTAATTTTATGTATGACACTGCCATCGGTTTACTGGAGAGGGGAGGTGTGATCGACAGGACGCAACCTGAGATGATAAGATAACGGATGTACACCACTGCACTGACCACCCGCAGTCTGGACTCAAACTCCGTCGGGTTAGCGTTGTCTGCTTTCTTAACTGATCAGTTACCGGTACCATAAATGTCTCGTATTCGTGTTTGTGTCGTGTTTAAATGTTTATTTATTATTTTCGTGTAAATATGACGCTCTTCGTATGAAGAAAGAAAACTGTCCTTGTGCAACCTGATGATGGTGTCACATAGACACCGAAACTAGTTGTGCTAACAACATAATTGGATTGCTTAATAGCAGGTATTTAAACCTTTTCTAAAATCAGTTTTTGTCGGAGAGATTCCTAAGTGGCCGTACAGTTAAATAATTAATAGATGAGTGAACGAAGTGAACGAATCTATGTATCGTGTATAGCGGAGTCGGAGAAAAGTTGTCCGCTTGTCTGTGAGTCCGTAAGTGTGTTGGCGTCAAATCTCAAGAACCGTTGCACTTTTAGCGTTCAAATTTTGCACACATAATGACACCAGTGGGAATACCCCATTAAAATTCTAGACGATTCCGCTCAGTAGTAATTATAAAACCCTAAAAAAAATTTTTTAAATTCGTCCCATAAGAATAACATTAGAAGCTACCTTCTTCTTCTTTTTATTTGTTTACCTTTTGCGACCAACAATTTTGTCGTCTACTTAAGACAGAGAGAGCGACTTATCCTCTAAGCTCTTTCATTCATGGAGTAAAGAGTTTGACGTTTATGAATATATATGACATCATAATTTCACAACTTTCAGAATAATAAATTGAACTTTACCGTACTATATCAGTCGGCAGTTATACAGTTTTATGTTCAGGTCAATTCACATTTGCACTACAAATGTGTATATTTAGTACTAAGCAGCTATTTATTTAATTCAATTTAATGTTGGCATTTACTATTAAATAGTCAAAGATGTTAGTCCATTTTGATACTAAAATGCTATGCGAAGGGGGGGAAACAGGTCCACGACGTAGGAAGTGGTGAAGGAAGTAGTCGAGGTGAACAGTCTGGAGTGTGGGAACCCTTTGTGACAGTTATATTAATGTACCTACAATACTAAAATACTATGGGAAGGGAGGGGAACAGGTCCACGACGAAGGAAGTGGTCAAGGCGAGGGTCCGGAGTATGGGAAGCCTTTGTGACAGTTAAAATAATGTATCTGGAATTCTCAAAATGCCATAGGAAGGGATGGAAACAGGTCCACGACGTAAGAAGTGGTGAAGGAAGTAGTCGAGGTGAACAGTCTGGAGTGTGGGAACCCTTTGTGACAGTTATATTAATGTACCTACAATACTAAAATACTATGGGAAGGGAGGGGAACAGGTCCACGACGAAGGAAGTGGTCAAGGCGAGGGTCCGGAGTATGGGAAGCCTTTGTGACAGTTAAAAAAAATGTATCTGGAATTCTCAAAATGCCATAGGAAGGGATGGAAACAGGTCCACGACGATGGGAGTGGTAAAGGAAGTAGTCAAGGCGAGCAGTCCAGAGTGTGGGAACCCTTTGTTACAGTTAGAATAATGTATCTGCAATTCTGAAATGCTATGAGAAGGGAGGAAAACAGGTCTACGACGTAGGAAGTGGTGAATGAAATGAAGTGTTAAAGGTGAGCAGTTTGGAGTGTGGGAACCATTATTGGCAGTTAGATTAATATATTTGAAATACTAAAAGCGATGGAAAGGGAGGGAAACAGGTCGACGATCTAGGAAGTAGTCAAAGCTAGCAGTCCGGAGTGTCGGAAACCTTTGTGACTGTTAGATTAATGTACCTGCAATACTAAAATGCTATGGGAAGGGAGGGAAACAGGTCCATGACGTAGGAAGTGATAAAGGAAGTAGTCAATGCGAGAAGTGCGGAGTGTGGAAACCCTTTGTGACAGTGGGATTTATGTATCTGCAATACTAAAATGCTATGAAAAGGTTGGGAAACAGGACCACTACGTAGGAAGTGATGAAGGAAGTAGTCAAGGCAAGCAGTGTGGAGTGTGGGAACCGTTGGTGGCAGTTAGATTAATGCAACTGCAATACTAAAAGGCTCAGGAAAGGGAGGAAACCGGTCCACGTCATAGGAAGTGGGGAAGGAAGTGGTAAAGGCGAGAAGTTCTGAGTGTGGGAACAGTTTGTGGCAGTTAGATTAATGTACATGCACTACTAAAATGCTGAGGGAAGGGTGGGAAACAGGTCCACGACGTAGGTAGTGGCGATGGAACTGGTAAAGGCAAGCAGTTCGGAGTGTGGGAACCGTTTATGGCATTTAGATTCATTAGTTAGATAAACTATTGGATTATTAATCATTTTTAGGTGATATAATAGCGCTATCGTTAGTATGTGTTATCATCATTATAAGCCATAGGCCTACGATATTTTTAAGAAGACTCCTTTACACCGTGCTGTCGCAATTAGGTTAAGTTAGATTCGTTCAGTTTGTTTTAGTTTTGTTTATGATAGGCCTCATAACAAATAAGGAAATAGGCTTCATTTAATCAAAAGACGTTTTGTACAGGAACGATGGATTTACCTCCTATCGATAACTGTTGGAAATCCATTACGTATATTACCAATGACTTTGGTTAAGTAATGGACGAGAAGTTAGTTGATTGTGTTGACTGAGATTTGGTTGATTTGCCTATATAACACTGTGTTCACCAGCTGTGCTCGCTGTCAGGGCCGGTTTAACCCATACGCGAACTACGCGGCCGCATATGGCGCCACAAAAAAGTGGCGCCATGGCGCCGACGGAACAATTTTTTTTACGTGAACAACGTAATTTTGTTTATTTTTTCTCAGAGTTCAAGTATTCAAAGCACCACAGTAAAGGCATTTATTCTGTTTGTACCAACAGCACTTGAAAAATGCGTATATTTGTACAACACTGCAACTGAAGGACTCTATGCCATTTGCAGTTTCGATCTGTAGTGAGCTGACGCTCGGTAGTCGGCAGCGTACAGCGCGGCGCCTGTGGGTTTCATTTCACGACGACTCGCTCACTAATGCTCGAGATAAGCAAGCGCGCAGTGCCACTTGTCACAACCATCGATAACCTAATGTTAGGTTGTATACATCGATGGTCACAACAAGAAACTTCCCCCGCCCTTCCCTCCCTTCTGCCTCTGATCCTAGAGCAGAACATTACGTTGTATTGCACTCTGTATACGTTACAGTATCGTTATCGTATTGGCATGGTTTTGATGATTCATGATTGTTGATGTTGATAAGTGAAGAGTAATTTAAGTTTAGTTTATAATTAGCGCATTAAATAAGAAGAAAGTATTAACTGAATGAATTGAGTAAAACATCTTGCGAGCCGATACTAAGAAACAATGGCAGAAAAAAAGAAACCGTCTGGCACTTATAGAAAGCGTAAGGCGAATTTGGAAGAGGAAGATAAAAAACAAGCCAAATCAATAAATATATTTTTGTTGAAATCATATGGTGGCGAGTCCAGTCAGCCCAAATAAGTCACGATAAGAAGACGGCAATGATGTAGGTATTTATTTATTTATTTTCCAAGGAAAGATTAAAACAAGCAGCTGATCACAAACGGCAAACATTACGTCATTGCCGTTGCCGTCTTCTATCGTCACGTCATGCTTGACGAGCATTACGGTCTGTTTTTTTAGTGTGGCCTTGGTTTTGCTAAAGTTTATATGAGTAAAAGTGTAAAAATGAAAAATTTCTGCGAATAATAAACAGTCTTTTATTGCAAGTATTCTTCTAACCTAAACTTATAAAAAAGTTCTTCCCAAAGTTATTGGGAAAAAATTCATACGGTTAAGTTGTTCATGGGTTGGGGGGGGGGGGGGGGAATTCTAAGTGGCGCTGATTCGGGTGTTCGCTTAACTCTGAAAAATTCCTAGAACCGGCCCTGCTCGCTGTTCACCAGTGACCCCGGTAAGTAGGCTAGGTGCGGATGGACTCTTCCATTGTTGCGCTCACGTTCACTCATCCCATTACGTGCAGAATAAGCGTACTACTAGTATTAAGCTTCAGTTTTGATGAGTTATTCACCTATTTGTGGTTTGGACTAGTGCAAGTTCTAGTGGCGACTAACACTGAAAGGAATGGAAGGTTTGTGAGTAGAAACAGCTGTCAGTTGTTTACATTCGATACTAAACAGACAAAACAACACACAGCGCCATGATAGCAAAATCAGAGTTACAATATGCAATAACTAGATTTTTAAAAGAAAATGGACTTTGGTGCTGTTTAGAAAATACAATAAATAAACTACAGTATCCTACATAAACTATTAAATGGCATCAACATAAATTATAAAGAAAATATAATTTATTCACATAAAAAATCAGTACCTAATAGAAGCTAGGCCACTGCCGACATGATCGTCCTCACGTCCTCATCCAATCCTCAACGTCTGTTAATGAACTCACGCATTTTTGATATTGTTATTTCATTTTGTTTCACCCACTATTTAATTGTGCAAAAACAGTCTGGAAGTAGCATAAATAAAATGAGTCTGTTCATTATAACCTAACCTTTACCTTCCTAATCTAACCTCACTTCAAAACACTTAATACAGTCACGAATCCGCATTAAGCCCACTCTACCTTCCTCACATGCCTAAATAAGAACTGATTAAGTTATTTGGTTTTAAAACAAATTGATTTCATTCCGCAATAAGTCGAGTATAAACAGCTCTTTGCTCTCCTTCCTACTCACTCAGCCCACAGTCCACATACGGACCCGTCCAGACCACGCCATATTACCATCAGTAGCCTATTATAGCTCAATCAACCTTAGATTCGTAATTTTAACCTTCGTTTTACGGCCACTTATGAATCCCTCCGACAAAAACTGGTTACATTTTTTGATTCAGCGTGAAAAATACTGTAGCCTAAGTAGACATCTAAAAATTACACGATATCGCGTTGTAGATAGGCTTTCTGTAAAATTAATTGCCGACAGAGGGTGCTGCAGGCAGCGCATTAATTCCTTCCCCATTGGTTTAATGATAAAAATTTATCAGTAATAAATAAAATAAAGTAAGATTAGAAGGCCCATCATCATATGTTAGGATATGGGGCTAAACTTAGGCTTGAAGCTTAACTTCGAGTCTAAATTAACAAGACAAAGAAACTATAGGCCTACACGCATTATTGAGGTTAAGAGAATAATAGCTCAGATTGCTAAAGAGCATGTAATTTTGTCTTTACAAAACCGATTGTTAAATTTAATCATATTCAAATGCTAACTATCATTAAACGATATGCTATTTTTAAAAAGTCGATAATCTAGCGCACGACATTAAGTTATCCTAACTAAATGACTTAAGGAAACGGTGTTAAAAGATAAACTTACTGATCTATCATCTTCATGGTGTCATATATGTCACATTCCATCATTTTTGAACACTGAACAGAATAAATAATTAATTTGTGTAATAATGATTAGAGAGAATTAATTTAAACGACAATGAAAATTAAGAAATGGACTTCAGACCCGCGGCCCGCACCAATCAACAAGTAAACGCCATTTTCTTCTTTTCAGTTCGGTCGGGTCGGAGCGGAGACTGAATGCAATCCACTATCCAGACGAAAACTAGAAATAGGGAATAGAATAATAAAGTAAAGAATAACACAATTAAATCTAAACAAAGACTAACTAACTATTTATGGACTGTTTATAGTGCATAGAGGAAAATTGTTTTCTCAAGTGTTTTGAATTAATACTGTAAAGTGTGTATTTATTACACCATTAATGATCATAAACTAAGCTTAAACATTGATAAAACATTGCCCACTATGTTTTAACTATGGTTTTTATCTATGGCTTGACCATAGGCTAACCAACACAAGTAGACTTCACTTCTCCCATTGTTAAGTCATAGGGAGTATGTTTTATCTATGGTCATAAGTCATTTATTCAGCCAAATCAACCAAAAGTGTTAGCTATGTCATAAGTTAATTTTGATGCTCGTTTTTCGTGTCTAGTTCATGTCCGGTGACACTTTCTGCTAGTGTTGACAACATTTTGTTTCTATTATTTGGGTGTTAATTTCATGATTTTGGCTTTACTGTTTAGTTTTATAACTAGGAGACGAGGTATTAAAATTATGATTAGATCATTTTATTTGGTTAAGCGAGTTTTTAAATGACTGAAATCCAGGGCCGATTTACCGAATACTGTAGGCACGTGCCTAGGGTGCGAGGCAATTGGTTTTTTAGGGGTGCCAAAAAATTTGAAAATAAAAAATTGTGGTTTTATTTGCATGCGATCTTGGTCAACTTCTGATAATCCCTCCCTCGCGGTCGTGTAGACATCGTAATTGTGTCCCACGTTTGTGGCAAAATTTTCACTATTTTCCGCGGTCGTGTAGACATAATTATCGTCTTTTACGATCGCGGCAATATGAACATATCCCGTGGACTCGAGGAGATTATCATCATCTACCGCGAATGAGGCAAAATTCTAAACTTTTCCCGAGGTCGTGTGGACATTATCATCGTCTTGCGCAATCGCGGTCAAGTTCTGATCACCCCTCGCGGCCGAATAGAACATTATTCTATCTTCCACGGTCCTGTAGACATCGTAATCGTCTCCTGCGGTCGTGAAGACAACGTGTAATCGTCTCCCACGATTGCGGCCAAATGTTAAATCCCACCAGCAGTCGTGTGGAGACCATTATATCGTCTTTCGTGATTGCGGGACAATTCATCCTGCTGTTTCCCGCGGTCGTGTGGACATTATCATCGTCTTCTGTTATAGCAGCAATATTTTGATCATCCTTCGCGGCTCTTTAAGATATCATCATAGTATTTCTGTGTGGATCGCGGAAAATTCTGATCACACCTCACGGCCGTGTGTAGACATATTTTCGTCTTCCGCGGACACGGAAACGTCACTATTGTCATACGCGATCGCGGTAAATTTAAAATTCCTGGTAGAAAATATAAAATTCACGCATAATCCCCGGTAAAAAAAAAACTCACGTATAATTCCCAGATTTCACGGTTAATGGACACCTTGTTGTATGGGACTGCAAATAGCAAGAAACAAATTTGTTAACAAAACACGGACAGAAGAGAGAGAGAGAGAGAGAGAGAGAGAGAGAGAGAGAGAGAGAGAGATACTTTATTACATGAGCGTTAAGCTCATTAATGGTGTCAAAAATTACAATAAAACAATAAACATTTATTTTTGACAAAAGTCAAAGTCTCTTCCACAGAGTGCAATGAACTCGTCGATGGTATAGACAGGGTTCTCGATCATCCAGTGTAGCATCCTCTCCTTAAGGGACATGGAGTTTCCATTCTTAATGGTCGAAGGAAGGAGATTAAAAAGCTTGGCCCCGGCGTATGATGGCTTCCTGGAGTATCTTGAAGTGTCATGTGCAGGTAAGTTGTAGTTTCCAGCATTTCTTGTTTAGTGTGGATGTACATCAGCGTTCCTGAGGAGGTTATTTTTACTGCTTGCATACACAACTACTTCACATATATATATATATATATATATATATATATATATATATATATATATAAGTAGATATATTCATGTCACTTCTGGGCCAAAAAAGGAGCCACTCAAAAATTAAATGAATTTTCCTATTTTTTTATACAATATGCTATATTTTTTACCCTTTTAGGTCAATTTCTAACATATTCATATTTTTCTAGAAAAAGTATATAATTTTGATGAAATTTTCATGAATATGTCTATATTTTACATAAAATTGACTACAAACTGAAATGTTTTTAAAAACAAGTAAAATTTTTTATTTAAATATTCTAAATATTTTATTTAAATTATTGTTTTTGTAAATATTATTTTTCCTATTTGAGTTATTCAAAATTTATTAAAAGTATTGAATTTCTCAGAAAATTCTAATGATATTTGATGTATTACAAGTCCATATTTCATTTTAAATAATTTTAAACTTAAACATGAAATGTTATCAAAAATGATAATCTTAAGATAAGAAGATAAGTATTGATTTAAATTAAAAATAAATGTCACCAATGAAAAGCTTGTTAAAAATTAGTGCTATTTATATATTATACATTTCTGTATGATTAAAGATAATGTAAAAATCAACAAAAACAAATTGTGTTGTAAATATAATCTTATTGAAGGAATATTAGTCTATGGCCTAATTTGTTTGGTCGATCTTTTTATGAAAATAAGTGATTGAATAAAATAATAACTAGTTGAATGTTAGTAAATTGCAGTGTGGATTAAAATAATTATTTTGATTTATCTAAACTAATCGAAAAGTATTTTATAATTAATGCTTAAAATGTATAATCAATGGTTAAATAGTTAGCTAATGAAACTAGCCGATTGAACAAAAAAAAGTGTCAAGTTAGCAAAAATCTCGTCATTAGCTATCATAATGGGTGTGGCTCTGTCGACTGGCTGATTTTCTATGTATATTCTCATTTTGTTTTATGAAGAAATATTTAAAATAAGAGTTTATTGATGGTAAAAGTTTATTATTTATTGATTGAAGATGAAGTATAAAGAAGATTAACTATGAAAATTGTGAAACTATCGTGTTGTGAAGTGAAATGTGTTTGAAGTGTTCATCACCATATTTGGATTGTTCAAGTGTTTTTAACTAATATTTTAATAAGTAAAAGTGATTTATTGAACTATTTATAGACTATTTTTATTGTTTGTAATCATAACTTGTTTATAAAACAATCAGAATTTTCAAGGTCAAGTGATTGCTGCTTTGTTTGATAGTTTTTTGCCAAACCATATGACATTCAAGGACAGTGTGCTTCTAAAGCACGCTTTGATAAATCTGAATTGTACAGTAAATATTTTGTGTAGAAAAATTTAAGTGACTGTGCTGTTTTATTTGACAGTTTTTTTTTTTGCCAAACCAAATGATGTTTAACGAAAGCGTGCATTGAATGCACGCTTTGATAAATCTGAAATGTTCAGTAAATATTATTTGTTTATGTTTGTGTGAGTTATTTTGAATTCCTATTCAGTAATTTAACTGTTAATATCGAATGTTTCAACTTATTATTCGATTGTTAGTATCGAATGAAATTATTTGAAATATATTGTATGTTATAACTTGAGTGTTTTTAAACCAATCTTAACCAAATTTGAAACATACACTCATTGAATATTAAAGAATGTTTTTGACTTATGTTAAGGGTAGTTTCATCCCTTATTTTGTATTTTATTTATAAAAATGTAAAAAATTATTGAATAATTCTAAAACTTAAAAATTATGAAAAATTATGTTTAAAATCAATGTTTTTACTAAAATTTTCCAATTTAGGGTGAACTACCCTTAAACTAAAAACCTTAATAACTTCTTTGTTTTTAAAGATATTTTCATGAAATTTGGTATGATATATCTATAAGGTAAGTACAAATTTATTAAATAATAAAATTTAAAATATTTATTTCTTGTGACCTTGAAAATCAAAAATTTTTATTTATTAATATTTTTTTATGAAACAAATTTTAAATTAACAATAGTAGTCTGTTTATTCATAAAATATAATAATACTTTGAAAAAAAAATTATTAGTAGTTGATAAATGACAATTCTATAATAATCTTATTTTATTTCAGTAATATCATTTTTAATCACATTATACTCTAATAATCTTTCAGATACAACAACTACATAGCAATTAGTTTTACTAGCAACAGTTATATCATAATCAAAATCCATATTTATTTTTATATCATTTTTTGATCCTGAAATATTTACAGTAGTTTTTGTAGTATCAATCACATACAATGGTCTATTTTCAATGAATTCTGTTGGATCATAATACATTTCACTATTGTTATAATAAACCTTTTTATAATCTTGATACATTTGATATACAATTCTAAATTTTCCATTATTTATATCTAGATTTATTAATTCATCAGGATAATAGTGACCATTTAATTTTACTCTAATATTTTTAATATACATACTATCAAATTTTGAAGTGTCATATAATTGATCATTAGTTCTACCTTTTTGAAAACCAATTATTATAAATTTTGGATTATAGATGTTTCGATAAATATTTGTTATATCAAAACTAACTGTTTTTCCAGTTATTGTCTTTTGTTCAATACATTGCCAATGATTAAAGTGAAATAGTATTTTTTCTTTTTTAGTTATTTCATTAATATATTGAATTTTACTTGTAGTTTTATACTCAATTATTGGAACTCTAATAAAAAAGTCATCAATAATTACTTTTCCAACACCTGGTAATGTAGTATCATCAAAAGTTCCATCAACTTTTTTAGTTTTCCATCTAAAAATAGCATCATTATCTTCAGATCTAACAAAACATATATTGAATCCTCCTTTGTATATTGGAACATTAACATTTTCAAAGAAACCTAATCCAAAATGTGATAGATTACCCACAGCTTCAAATGTTTTTTTGAAATCTGATTGAAATCCATTACAAATGTTGGATACTGCTTCTGTTTTTGAATAAGTAACAGTACCTTTTATTGTACTCAATTGTCCAGGATATTCAATTTCCTCAATTAATTTATTATGTTTTCTAATTTCAATTTTTGA